CTACGAAGGAGCTAGGATTTGCACTTAATATATAAACACATGATGTTCCCTTAGAGCTAATCAATTAGCAGTAGACATTTCATAAAAACATAAATGTGTTGTTATAATCCAAGTTTTGTGTTTATCTATATGACATCTATATTGTTTATTTCGACTACTACCCATCCAGTTAAATGAAACTGTTCTGGGCTCAAATTTGGCAATAAAGAAACCCATGCAATCAAATCTATACTACACCAAATAGTCCAAGGTCTGTTTTTCTCATCTTCATTCATGTGTCACTCTGTCTTTATACACAAAATAAGAAAATGCTATTATTTCTGACTGAAAGTGAAAGGACCATCTCCTGAAATAAATGTACTAAAATTAGAATTAAATTTCTTAACAATGGTAAAATCAAAGATTAAGAGGTTTGGACAACATATCTAAAGAACAGTACGAGTTCTTGTCAAAAATTACTTTTCAGACAGACCCTCAAAAATGAGGATGAACATGGTTTCTTAGCAAAGGACAGTCTATAAGTACCTTATTTTTTTGTTGTTTCTGTTTCTCCTGTTAATAACTTCAGCATCTTCTGTACAGAAACCCACTAAAACCTTCCTTCCCACCACCACCAAAAAGCCCCACGAGAAGGTTTTGAAAAGAGTCTCTGAAAAGAGTAAATTTAAAGAGAAGTTCCTTTATTATCCTTATTCTTTTAAGTGTATTCTTGGATGTCCCCTAAAAAAAAAAAAAAAAAAAAACAAAAAACAAAAAACACCACTGAAATTACTTCAGTACCTTTATACCTGTACCTTTTTATTAACCTCTAATTTCTGTAGGAGTTTTCACTTTCATTAACAAACATTTTTCTCTTACAAAAAACATTCTTGTGACATCAAACGGCTTATACGACAGCAACTCAGCCTTGAGAATAAACTGTTTGAGGCACTGGAACAGGTTGCCCAGAGAAGCTGCGGATGCCCCATCCCTGGAGGTGTTCAAGGCCAGGCTGGATGGGGCTTCGAGCAACTTGGTCTAGTGGAAGGTGTCCCCGCCCGTGGG